GTCGTAAATGGTTACTTTGAGAACCGAGCACTTGGCGCCGTCGCTAAAGTACTATTGGCGACGGAAAATTACACCGTCGCTAAAAGTCCTCATTTTCAACCAAATGCCCTATCTTTTGTGACAGCATTACTACCGTCGCAAAAAAACCCCTATTTGAGACGGTGAGTGGGACGTCCGTCTCAAAAAAAAAAAACTGTAATAAAATTATTAAAAATATGAAAATAACCTATATTAATGAAAAAAACTAAAAAAAACCAATAATTACATAATAATATAAAAATCCAGTAATATAAATAAAAAATTCATCCTAATTAAAAATATTTTCCATTCATAACAATACATCAGCAAATTATCCAATACATAATGTTGCATAATCATGCATAATGTTATTTACAAATCTAAATAACACAAATAAAAAACAAACGTTTCGTCATGCTTCTTCCGTGGGTTACAAAAACAAAAAGTTAGTCATAATCTTTACACGCCTGCATTCCATAAGAAGCAACTGCTACTCCGGAAATATCTGAAATAAAAAAATAAAAATAATTAATGACAATAATAATTGTGTTAATATTTTAATTACAGAAAAACATAAAAAAATTAACCCTTGTGCACTAGAGTGCCCTTTTTCCACCAAATAATTTACATCAAATTTGATTTAACAATGATTATGGACCAGCTACCTGGGGGGAAAGATCCAATGGATTTGCATTTGGTCCAGTCGAAGGAACACGTGCTGGTTGTGCAGGCTGAGCCAGAGAACTTAAACCATGTGAACTGCTGCTGAACCCTAAGCAATTTCAAATTGGGTTTGTGCAGCCAAAATCTAATAACAAAAATAAATAAATAAATCAATAAAGAGTACATACATCCTTAATTAACAAACTTTAAATAATATTACTTTGACATACTTGGCATACCTTTTTCATTAGTGGGTAAACAATTCATCCCCGAGATATGCCAAGGTTGTACCACTATCCATTATCATCGGTTTTCCATAATCAGTGTCAAATCCATCTGATGGAAGTTGTAGAACAGAACACCAACCTCAATTGACTTCAAAATGACATTGTAATGTGCCCTAAGATAGCAATAGAACTGTACTTTAGAACCTATTTAAGGAACTAAGCATAAATGAATACTAAAATAATGCCACAGTATAAAATCCACTAAAAACAGATTTGAATTTATCATATTTTAACAGGAAAGTTGCAAAAAAAACCAAAAAAAAAAAAAAAACACTAAGTAATTGCTAATTACAGTCATAACATGCACAGTTAGCTTCTAATCACTTTATTAAAGACTGACAAAGTCATATTTTTCTTCAGTCATATGGTTGAACGCCCAAAGCATCAGAAAGCAAAACCAAGAAAATCAATCGGGTCAAGACTTGTATCCTAGAGCATTAAATTGTCACCCGTGCTCAATGCACCTCCCATTGTCAATTACCAAAATAAAATGAGACAAGAGGTAATACCTGAGGTGTATCTGCCCAATTACATAAGTTGTTGGAAATAAGTGTATATAAAAACAATAGCATAGAGTAGATAATGAAGCTTGAGAAGTAAACAGATCAAATTTGTGTAGTGAATATGACAAGTCATAGATAAAACTAACTGAACACCCGAAACATGGTTTTAACCTTTGAAGCTTCAAAAACTTTTAAATATGAGGACAAATAAGTTACATTTTGTTCCAACTCCAAGTTTCTATACTAAATGAGACATAGGCATAGCGTACTCCAAAAGATTAATTCATGTCAACAAAAACAAAAACAAAAAAAATGTTTTCCACTAAACAATTTTCAAAAAATGTATTCAACCAATGCAAACAAAGCATGATATTAAGAAAACCTCCAAAAAAATGCACATATACTGGCTGGAAGACAGTCCGGCATGACCGAAACAGGATGATATAGCTGGAACAAGACAGAAATTAAGTGATGAACATAGGCATTTCTAACAGATTCAATAACTATGCCCCTAATCACAGTGTGCTTGCACAATTATCATAAAAACCACACAAAACCAGAAGGGTCATTGTCAGTCACTCAGTTTTCAAGTCTTATAATTGGAACTTTCAAAGTAAAAACAATTGCTACCTCACCTCCCTTGCTGAACTTGCATCACGACTTCATACATTCCAACTTTTCTGAAGTAATTTATCACTTTAAGCTTTGGTTTCCTTCTATGTCTGAACTCGCACACCACCTTCTCAGATGTGTGGCCTATGCATAGTAATTTAGGCTTGCTTTCTTCTTAGCCTGAACTTGGATGATACCTTCATTGAAGTCCTCATGGTTCACCTGCATAAAGGTCAAGCCATTGTTTTTATTAGCAGTTGCTCCTAACAAAAAAAAATTCCACATATGTAAATGCACAAATTACTCTCTTTTCTTGTTCTTTTTTTTTTGGGGGAGGGCGAGGGAGGGGTACTACTTTTCAGCTTCACCTCCCCAAAATAGGGGGAAAATAATTAGTATTTATCTTTGTACTTGTAACACATTTAGCCTCTAACATGTGGAGATGGTGGCTCTCTTCACATCTCACCCCCTCTAATCCCCTCTCTATCTCTCTCTCACATCTAGGGTGGCACTAGCGTTAGCGATTGATGGTGGTTGTGGTATCATGATTATTATTGATGGTCACTCTCACAGATCTCCTATCTTGCAGACATATCCTTCGCGTGTGAGTTTTTTCACTCTCATATCTCCTCTTAGATTTATCTCTAACTGCGGTATTTTTTTCTACTTTTTTTCTCTCCTCCCGTGTGTTGTCACCATGTAAAACCGCCCGAGACCGACCGGCAAATCAAAATCAACAAGCGGTCGATTCAAGGATGGTATCAGCATTTCGAGGATGGCATTGGTCAATATTGTTTGATGGAATCTTCAAACCAAAAGGGTCGGTTTGAGTGATTGCTCGATCTGTGAACTCGAGTCGACCAACCCATTAACACCCCTATAGAGTAGCATTAACACAACCGCCATGAAACTACATAATTTTGGATAATAAAAATGAAAAAATAATTTTGGATAAAAATTAAAAGAATCAAAGGTGAAGGTACAATTATAAAAGTAGGCTAACCCCTTCCTCCAACTAGACAACTTGTGCAATAAAAATTGACAAGTCTGCTAGCTGTAGCTTCCAATAAAACTGTATAAATGCACATAAGCATGAGTGGAAAGGTTGCATGAATGTAATCAAAAAAGAATTTTGTGTGAAGATGATTCTACCAATGAGCAGTAATACGTGTAATATTGGAGAATTAGCATGAACGTTAAAAATCAGCTTAGAATCCTCTAAATACTTGTCCTATTATTGAAAGGAACTTGACATATAATCAAGTACAAAGAACGCTAACCCAATGGGACACCAAGAAGAAATTCCCATTACTTCGCTTTTCATAGATGATTGATCAGAAGAATCACAAAAGACTACTTAGCAGGCTATGTTTTGACCTCTATAAGAATTTTAAGATGCATAAGAAATTTGCCTGTATAAGTTATCATTTCTCTTACAAATCCTTTTTGTATAAGACTATTGATGATCCAATTATTCTGTTGTTTCCTACTCATAAGTTCATTTGGGATGCTATGTCCTCTTAAAGTTAAAATATTTGCATGGACTTTGGCTCACAAGAAACTTACTACCCCAATGTTTCAAAAGAGAAGGCTTAGTTGCACTTCACTTCCAGAATAGGGCATAATGCATAAGAGTGAGAAGAGTATTGATCATTTGTTTATACATTGTCCCATAGCTTTGACACTTTAATATAGATTGTTTCAATTAGCAGAGATTGATTGGGTAGTTCCAGATTCTTGCATCTAGCTACTACTCAATTCATTATAGAGGCTTTGGTCCTAATATGAAGGCCCGTGTCGTGTGGACTTGTATTATTTGTGCAAGGGTTTTCTTTTCTTTTCTTTTGGTGGACTGCATGTCCACCTATCTTTGTTGTACTTTTTTTCCTTTTATTTTCAATAAATTTGTGTTTCTCATCAAAAAAACATATTTCAGTTTGTTACCTTTAAATTGATAAATTTTAAGACCATTTAACATGAAAAGATAAATAATATGGTCCTATCTTTTAGATTCCAACTTCATGTTTAACTCCGCCACCCCAAAGCAAAAGAGATTTCAGGAAGTGTCTGGGCATTTATAGACATGGTATCGACGTAATAAATGTTGCTTTCTGTACATGGAGAAAGCTAAGCCTCTCAGAAACATAACTATAATTTCTTGACATCATTAATATTATAAAATTTTCCCAAGGGGCGTGATTGGAGATTTTAGCAGACAACTTTGAGTGCGAAGTAGTTGTGATTATTGAAATGTATTACTGCCAAATAAAATACTTCAATGAAAATTCTGATGAAATTTTTAGTCATACCGATGATGTTATTCCACACAAGCACATACATAAGAATATCTGAAACAAGCCCCCTAAAATAGCAACTGCTCGGACAACACGAAGCTGCAGTTTAAAATGAAGAATCAACCACAGCCTGTGACATTAATTGACAAATCCTAAATTAAGAAAGAATAAAATAAACCAACCTTTGCTACAGAGAACTCCAGACCCAATGCAAAAAGAAGAAAAATCACACCAAACTGCGCTACTGTTTCGACCTACAATATCAATGAGAAATTGAAAGCACAACATTATGTCATATAAGATGACAAAATATATATATATATATATATATATGAATAGAAAATCTATAAATAAATAATTAAAAAAAAAGCATAGAACCAAAATAACATAATAACATAATAACATGTGCAGTTCAACAAGAAGAACTCCTAAAACAACAGGGCACCATGAAACTTTGTTGTAAACAGATAAATTACATAAGGCCAAATAAGCAATTTCAAATTCTAACCTCTCTTATTGCTGTAACCTTAGCATGTGCAATTGGATCAGTGTTTTTCAATACCATGTTGTGACAGCTCACAACAACTTCATCATTACGAACAACAACTGCACCAAATGGGCCTCCATCTCCACATTCTACCCCCTTATATGCTTCTTCAACAGCTTTTGTTAAGAATTTGTGGTCTCTATCCTGCACAGCTGGTAGACAAACAAGGAAATCAAAACCACAATAACATTAATAAAGATGCATATCAATATAATCAAAACCACAATAACATTAATAAAGATGCATATCAATATAATCAAAACCACAATAACATTAATAAAGATGCATATCAATATAATCAAAACCACAATAACATTAATAAAGATGCATATCAATATAATCAAAACCACAATAACATTAATAAAGATGCATATCAATATAATCAAAACCACAATAACATTAATAAAGATGCATATCAATATAATCAAAACCACAATAACATTAATAAAGATGCATATCAATATAATCAAAACCACAATAACATTAATAAAGATGCATATCAATATAATCAAAACCACAATAACATTAATAAAGATGCATATCAATATAATCAAAACCACAATAACATTAATAAAGATGCATATCAATATAATCAAAACCACAATAACATTAATAAAGATGCATATCAATATAATCAAAACCACAATAACATTAATAAAGATGCATATCAATATAATCAAAACCACAATAACATTAATAAAGATGCATATCAATATAATCAAAACCACAATAACATTAATAAAGATGCATATCAATATAATCAAAACCACAATAACATTAATAAAGATGCATATCAATATAATCAAAACCACAATAACATTAATAAAGATGCATATCAATATAATCTTCACCAGGTGCGTCATATTATTATTTCCTCATCAAATGCCCCCCAAAAAAATCACAAAACACTCATACAACAGTTTCTCTAGATGACCAAACACTAAAATTTGATTCAGAAGTATAATATGAACAATCTAAAACAACAACAATGGTTCAAATGGATTATATAGAATGACACATTTGATACCATTATTGTTCATAGAGTTGTATGTCTTGAAATATACATATGTACGTATACAGATCTAACCTTAATCAACTAATGCGAATAAAAGAACATTTCGAAATAAGACACAAGATGGACTTCACCTTCATGGTAACCAGCAAATGCAGAAGCAACAGAAATGTTTCCATCCTTAGCTCCCAACACTAGTGTACATGGCAAAAAAGACGAGTAGATAAACTTTAATGATGCTGAGTAGGTGAAACAAATGTAAAAAGATACTACCACTATTAAAAAGAACACAATAAAATTAAACTACAACTACAACCTCCAAATATTATAGAAAAATAGCGGGATTATATCAATTAGGTAAAAGGCTGCTAATCTGGCCACTTGCAAGTTCAAAATTCCGTTTTTTATTCAAGAATTTTACTATTCAAATTGCAATGGAAGTAATCTATATCCACCCAGAAAAAAACTCACTCTGTTCAGAAGAACCCTTCTTCAAGAAGTTCACGAGAAACCTTAATGTTTGTGATCAAATGGGTAATAAAATGGTTCTTTTGCCTATGTTCCACATATTGATGTAGAAAACCATAATTCAAAACGAACCAATTAAAGAAAATTGGAACACTATCAGCACCTAGTATGGTTCAAGATTTGAATACTTATTTGTGAATAAAACATAAATAAAAAAGAGAGTCAAAAATTTATTTATCATATTTTCAGATTAAGAAACCTTAGTCTATTAATTGATTTTGTAAAAAAAAAGTCACTTAGTTCGAATTACCTTAGATCATATGACATGTTTTTCAAGGAGATCAGCGCCGAAGAGAAGATCGACACTGAAGAGCTGAGACGCCAGAGAGTGATTCATGCCAGTGTCTTCTTTATGCCGGAGGCTGATTCACGCCGAAAGTGAGAGATTGAGGATCAATCGATTAAGAGAACACAAGGTCTTGAAATCGATTGTGATTGCGTGACAGATTGAGATCGAAATCAAGAGACAAAAGATGAAAGAAGATTGAGATAGAGAGATTGAAATGAGAGAGAGAGAGCATACTAACTGAGGTCACGTGAGAGAGAGGGGTCGTACTACGCCGTCGCCGCACCACCGCTAGCCGTCGTCGCTCGTCGACAGAGAGATCATCGTCGGTGAACAATCGAAATCTCTGTGATTGGGAACTCGAAATTTCTGTGATCGTCGGTGAACATGAACTCGAAATCGTCTCTGAGATTGGGAACTTGAAGTCTCTGTGATTGTGAGGGAGAATGTGTTAGGGATTTGGGGATGAAATTTTTGGGGTTTTGATCGACCGCCAATTTGGGCGAAAGGAGGGAGTTGAAAATTCATTACCTTTTGCGACGGTATAGAATAACGGTCGCAACTGATAAAATCCAACTATTAAAACGATGCCGTTTTAATAAGGTTCTTTTGCGATAGTCAATTGCCGTCACAAATGCCCACTATTTGCGACGGTAATTTCCACCCGTCTCAAAAGAATTTTTTTTGGCGACGGCACACAATGCGTCGCAAATACTTCCATGTTTAAGGCACTTTTTCTTGTCTGCTTATTAGCGACGGGGCGATTACCGTCGCAGATACATTTATTTGAGACGGCTTTGAATGCCGTCACAAAAGCCGACTTTTTGCGACGGTATACACGCCGTCGCAAAAAATTCTGTGTTTTAAAGTCACTTTTCTTGTAGTGTTTAAAAAATAAATGACAGATGTGATTTAATAGACTATTATCTTTCTTTTTTCTTCAAACAATTAAGACTTGATCATGTATATTGATTAACTTAATTTTTTGTATGAGTATTTGCTCACAAAGTTTTACAAGTTGAACAATCTAAATTATCAAAGTAAGCCCAAAATAAACTCATCATAGTCCTCATAGTAGCCTAATTTGCCTTACCAACTTTTAGAAAGTGTTACCAAATTTTAACAGGCAATAAATTTTAGTAAGACTTCTTTCTTTCTTTCTCGTAATAAAGGCCACAATTACATTTTGATTTGAATTTTCGTAAAAAAAAAAGAAAATAATAACATTTGCACGGTTGAAAAATGTTTTTAAATATAGCAAGTTGACGATATTCATTTCCAAAATTTGACTTTAATTAAGTATTTTTTAGTATTGCACAATACTCTAAACTGCAAAAAAACTTATCAATCTAAATAAAATAAAATAAAATAAATAAATTGGAACAAACTTAATTATATGTGATGATGCAATAGTTCCAACGGAGGATGGGTGGGATTGATCCACACTTCCAACGGGTCTGCTGACCTCGGTGTTCCCCAGACAAGCCTGCAAAATGGTCCGGATGAGGAGGGGATCCCCCGACGGACTCTCCGACGATCAAGTTAGGTTAGGGAAGATTGATTATAAATAGAAAGAAGAGAGGGATGAGGAACTTAACCTTTAATGTATCTCGAAAGCTTCCTTATATCATCTGCTCATTATTTCCTTGTCCATTCCAGACTGTCTTGTTGGCCGAAAGTCTATAGTCTAGTTTACATCGTTCATGGTGAGTCTTCTCCCTCCAATGCAAAAGGTTTGCTGCATTTAATGCTGCGAGGACCTCATTAAATGGTTGATGTGTGGATGTAATAACTTTACAGGATCTTTGTCTGCTTACGTGGCTAATTTCTTGCCTGCGTTTACGTGTTGTTGGTCCTGGTCCAACATTACCCAGACCATAGACTGGGCCCTGAGTCACGGGCTGGGCCTTCTTGGGTGCCTATTATGTTGTTAGTCCTAGTCCAGTATTACTTAGACCGTGGGTTGGGCTCTCTTGGGTGCCCATCAGTATCAGTAGTCTCACATTCCCAAGTGCAGCTTTAGTCCAATGAAGGAAATAAAGAAGGTGCTGGGAGTCCCGAAGGGCTGGGAAGAGGGCAGGGGTAGGGCGGGAGGGTGGTGTAGTAGTGAGAAAAGGTCGACCGATCGCCAAGATGGCCAACCTCGAAAGTGGCCGAGCGTGAGACAAGACCGTCGAGCTGGCCGACCGAGAAAGATGGTGGTCAGGCTGGCCGACCGTGAAGGCTGCCGAGTGTGAGAGATGACCGTTGGGTTGGTCGATCGTGAAGGCGGTCGAGCATGAAAGATGACAGTCGGGCTAGCTAACCGTGAAGGCAGCCGAGTGCAAAAGATGATTGTTGGGTTGGCCAACCATGAAGGCGGTCGAGCGTGAAAGATGACAGTTAGGCTGGCCGACCGTGAAGGCTGCAGTAATCGCATTGATGGTGCACGAGGCTCAAGAGGTAGGCAAGCACGTGGTGATGTAAAGTGGAATAGACGGGAGAGAGGAATGAGAATTACTGGGAAAATGGAGGGATCGTGGTCATATACATGGAGAAATCGAGGCCGTTAGTGATGGATGTCGAATCGACTATAGGAGGTGAAGGGGTTGATAAGGGGAGAGGCGGGGATTTTAAACTATTGTGGGATTTTCAAATTGGCGAAATTTAACCATGACCCTTGAAACACAGGCATACCCTAGGCATTCAGACTTGTGCGCTTTTCTTACCTGATTGCGAAAAATCAGCACATTCTAGATTTTAGCTCTTACATCTCGGTGGATTCACCCCTCTTTCATATTGCAAATTTTCTAGCCCCGCAACCGAAGCGATATATAGAAACGTGAGGGGTATGGCACAAGACAAAGCGTCGACCATGACAGCGGACGTGTTAGGAGAGGATGACGGAGTGGCTTTGACGGAACAATATAGAGCAGAGAGGCATGAAGAAAGGGGCGTGGAGTGACCAGTATGACCCCTTCTGTCGATGATGATCTCGGCAGCCCAACCGATTAGCCAAGTGGCTCCTGACCACTAGCATACCAAGGCAGAAAAATTCACGGTAACGACAACCGATTAGCCAAGTGGCGCCTGACCACTGGCATACCAAGGCGGACAAATCCACGCTAACGGTAAAGGATCTGGAGGAGTTATGTAGCAAATACCAGATTCAGGCCGATGTATAGTTGAGATTGCCCATGGCGAAGGAAAGGGCGTCAGATGCACGGCTGATGGAATTCACACTATATGAAGAAATGCTGCGTGGGGTTCTGAGGTTCCCCCTCCCATAGCTAGTGGTTGACATGCTGAATCGCCTGGAGATGCCCCCAAGACAACTAATGCCGAACTTGTGGAAGATTTTATTTGCCTGCGCAATCGCATGGCCAAGGGCAACTAGAGGAGAGGAAATGACGGTGGACAAATTTTTCTCCCGCTACAAGGCTTCAGGGCAACAAGAGAGTTGGGTGACCCTGCAAGCCATAACGGGAAGGGGATTGGTGGCGGGACTACTCTCGCTGGTGAAAGGTTGGCGGCCAAAGTGGTTTTTGTGTCGGCTAGTGGCGGAAAGGGAGTGCGCACAATTTGGAAGGTCCCCACCAAGTCGTTGGAGCCAAAGTTAGATGTTGCGGCGGAGATGAGGGTTAAACAGGTGAAAGAGTGGTAGGAGAAAGAAGGGCTAAAATGGGACGACCTTGTCCAGCCCTCAGCCCTGTTTGCCTTGAATTTAAAGCCTCAGCCGACTGAGGAAGATCCTGCTCCAGAGGATGTAGAGGCAAGGAGGAAGGCATAGGAGGCAGAAGACGTACGAGTGTTTGCCATGGCAGACAAGTACAAGGAGAAAAAGTTAGGCCCAACGCCAAAGCTGGTAGCAAAGAGGTCTGTCTGATCACGACCCAAACCCTTGGAAGACAAGGACTTAGTAACATTTGTGCTTCTACGAGTGTCAGTGGATCCATTGAGGGAGAGGAGTAAGAAGGAGATAGAGTTGGTGTTGAAGAAGAAGAAGAAACGAGGGGTGGTGGTGGAGGGGAGTGGAGAAGGACCGTTGCGAAAAAGCCAAAGAGGGGGCAGTGGAAGTGCCCCCCGAATTAGAGGGAGGAGAGGCTAGAGTTGGGGCAGAGGCGGAGGGAGGTTTGGCTGAGCCCCCAGTTTCCCAAGTGACAGGCGGAGGGGACAAGCAAAAAGGATCGCCAAAGGCCGACCAATCTACTGATCTGCCCTGCAAGGACGTGCCCTCAAGAGAAAAGCCGCCCAGGCAGGAGTTGGGGTGGTTGGGGACCGCCACTTATCATTTGTGCACCGTGGTTGGCCGCTCGGTTGGTCACGGGGGTGAGGCTAGAGCTACTGCAAACTGCGTGCTAGGGGCCATTGAGGATGCGGCCGTGCGAGGGTGTCACAGTTCACAAAAGCAGACCTCATGAGAGGGCTCTGCTTTGAGCAGATGGAAGCGGTGACCCTAGCGGCTGCATTACTGGCAATGGAGTGGGGGTGAGGATGAAAATGGAGCCGCTTAAGGCCTAATTAGAGGAGGCGTGGGCGCAGTTACAAAATATGAGAGTGGAAACAACAGGTTGGAGGAAGGCGACAAGGAGTGCCTGCTCGAAGGGCTTATTGTACGCTCAAAGAGTGAAGAAGATGGAGGCGCTGGCGGTGGTGCAGAGTTACTTTACTGAGTGCGCCATAGTAGGCCAAACTGAGGTCGCCGCCGAACTGTCAGTCGCCAAGGCGGAGCTTGAAGTGACACGTCGTGAGGTGGCGTCGCTAGAGTTTGAATTGGCGAGTGAACAAAAGAAGGCTAACGAAGCCTAGGAAGCTTGTGCCACCGCTAAAGAGAGGTTGGAGGAGGCCCTAATAAATAACAAAGAGCTGTGTGATCTGGCCTTAAAGGACAAGGAAGAGGCAGATACACGAATGGCTGAATTGGAGAAGCCACTGGTTGCCGCACAAAGGGCTTTAGAGGATGAGAGAGAGAACTCGGCGAATCTGGCCAGGATTTTACAAGCAGAGAGAGCGACCTACCCAGATATATAGGTCACAGCTGTGAAGCAGTATAAGTAGACCCCAGAGTTACAAATAGATATTGATGCTTCTGTGGCCACAAGTCTAGCTAAGGAGGTGGGGAAGGGGAAGTTGGGCCTTCGAACGTAGCGGTGGCGGAGTTGATAGAAGGGCAGACCAAAGGGGAGATAATACAAAACTTCCAAGAGTCTGACTACTACAAGTATGAACTGAGCATGTATTGGGACAGTGGTTGGACAAGCTTTAAGTACAGGGCGCATGAGCTGTTCCCAGACATGGACTTTAACCTTGTGAAGCCAGGAGAGAAGGATATTGTCCAAACCCCACTGGATAAGGGGTAGAGGAGGAAGACTTGGCATCCAGCGTAGGGGATGGAGGAGAAGGAGACTGAAGACTTGGCCTGAGCTAGTGTGGATTGCTTTGTGTTGTTGTTTTGTTGTTTTTTTTTTTTGGTCTTTGTATAAAGGTTTAGGTTGTGTTAGTAAAAAGTTGTACAGTATTAATGAAATAATAAAACTTGGCTTTTGTTATGAATTGTCTCTTTGTTGGTTTTGCCTTTGAATTTGCCTGTCACAAATTGTTTTTGATGTTGAGTTGAATGTAGATCTTTGAGTTGTATGTCACACATACAAATGTAGCTATATAAAAAATGGAAATATGTTATATTGGACTTGGTCTGGCTGCGCTTGAGGCTTTTTCTTGGTTGAGCACTTCAGGCTTGGTCTGGCTGAGGCTTGCGACATTCAGCCTAGCTGAGCTCTTCAGGCTTAGGCTGGCTCAGGCTTATGGTGTTCGGTTTGTCTAAGGCTAATGTAACTCAGTCTTGCTGAGTTCTTCAGGCTCAGTCTGGTTGAGGCTTATGTAACTCAGTCTGGTTT